CACTTTTATAAGGAACACAGTTGTGTGGTCGCAGTGTGTGAAAACAACCAGCCTATAATGGTAAAAATCCACCCACTCATTTTTTTATAATCCCAATAAATCATAAACAGTCTCTCCAAACGAGCGGTTCCAGATTTCTTCCTATATACACGTCATACTAGGGAAAGTCCTGCCCATTTGTGATGCTCTCTGCCCCATTAGCATAGACACAGCCCTAAGTGAGAAGCAGTAGTCCACCATTACTGTTTTCTTGCTGTAGCTGTTGGAGATAAAATGTCAGCACCAAAGAGGCATTGCAAGTGTCGTGTGTTGGGATGCACCAACGAACATAGGAGTCTCCATAGACCGCTGAGGAAATGGCGGTAAAATTTAAAGGAAATGTCCCAGAAAAAAGTTTGTGCGTTTGTGCTAATCATTTTACGCCGGACTGCCTTACAAATGAGGGTCAGTTCAGCGCTGGAGTTGGGCAAACCAAAAGAGGAAAAGAGGAATCAATACCAACACTTCATGCGCGAACATCAGCTCCAGACAAAGTAAGCATCACACGTCATATTTTGTTTTCCAAAAGAGCTTCTTGGCTCTCTGTAAGGCTAATGTTGCTAAAGCTACCATTGTCTCTGCCTGTTGTCACTGATGCTGCCTTCACGTGCTACCAGAATGATCGTAAATAGGAATTTGGTAGTTAAAAATTGCATATGGAAGCAATGTGAAGTCGAACACTTTAATTTGTCGAGCTCATAATCACAAGTGGGACTTATAAAGGCACCATGAGACCAGCTATGTTGTTATTTTTAATCGTGCCATGCTCCCCGTCTGTGTAATTAATAAACACGCATTTACTGCACAGTCCAATCAGATTGCGTGATATTGTCGTGTTTTATTGGTGCCGGTATGCCGAAGCATGAGATCTTGAAGCTCCACCCTCTTCTGAAAAGGGAGCACCATTTGCATTTAAAGGGACAAACACAAAAACGGCACGTTTTGGCTCTCACCCTAAAAGTGGCAATTTCAACAAGCTATAAAAATGATCTGTAGGGTATTTTGAGCTAAAACATAATATACACACTCTGGGGACATCAGAGACTTATTTTACATCTTGTAAAAAGGGGCATAATAGGTCACCTTTAATTTAGGTATTATTATATTAATACTAATTAGGTGTAAAAAGGTACAAAGTTGTACCTTTTAGCTATTGTATAGCTATTGATGCTGCTAAAAAGAAAAGTTGTACCTTTTAGCTATTGTATAGCTATTGCTATGAGGAAATGGCGGTAAAATTTAAAGGAAATGTCCCAGAAAAAAACTGAAAAGTTTGTGCTAATCATTTTACGCCGGACTGCCTTACAAATGAGGGTCAGTTCAGCGCTGGAGTTGGGCAAAGTTTGCTTCCAAAAGAGGAATCAATACCAACACTTCATGCGCGAACATCAGCTCCAGACAAAGTAAGCATCACACGTCATATTTTGTTTTCCAAAAGAGCTTCTTGGCTCTCTGTAAGGCTAATGTTGCTAAAGCTACCATTGTCTCTGCCTGTTGTCACTGATGCTGCCTTCACGTGCTACCAGAATGATCGTAAATAGGAATTTGGTAGTTAAAAATTGCATATGGAAGCAATGTGAAGTCGAACACTTTAATTTGTCGAGCTCATAATCACAAGTGGGACTTATAAAGGCACCATGAGACCAGCTATGTTGTTATTTTTAATCGTGCCATGCTCCCCGTCTGTGTAATTAATAAACACGCATTTACTGCACAGTCCAATCAGATTGCGTGATATTGTCGTGTTTTATTGGTGCCGGTATGCCGAAGCATGAGATCTTGAAGCTCCACCCTCTTCTGAAAAGGGAGCACCATTTGCATTTAAAGGGACAAACACAAAAACGGCACGTTTTGGCTCTCACCCTAAAAGTGGCAATTTCAACAAGCTATAAAAATGATCTGTAGGGTATTTTGAGCTAAAACATAATATACACACTCTGGGGACATCAGAGACTTATTTTACATCTTGTAAAAAGCTTTAAATGAAAACGTACTTACAGTCTGTGAGGCAGAACAGCCGGCATTGTAGTCTACTCTCCCAAGATCAGGAAACAGTCCTCCATAAAATGTGCTGTACAATCTGAATATTTGGGTTAAACTGTTCTGGAACGGTGTTGTAAATACAACTTAACCACTTATTTCTAGTCGTGTCCTCTTTTGGAAGGCCAAACAAAGTAGTTTCGCTTTCACAACGAAAAAGCTTCACACATCGCGGCCTTGAGTGAGCGGAGGCCAGAGGCCTAGAGTGAGCCGCGGCCTAGAGTATGCGGAGGTCGGCTTGAGTGAGCACAGGCGGGCGAGCTTGAGAAAGGCGCGGCAGGCAGATTCGACGAAGGAGCGTCCGGCGAGCTTGCAGCAACCACATGTGACGACCCCGGGCTGGACTCCGCTTCGTCTACGGTGAAAGCCGATCCGGCGATCGACAGCGAGAAGTTGATGTACTTCCTCAGCGACCTGCACGGATCAGCTCCAGGCATGACAAAGCGGATATCATCCTCTTTTGGAAGGCCAAACAAAGTAGTTTCGCAACGAAACACACAGCGCCTTCATGACATGGCGGCGGCAGCAACAACAATACTACAGCGAGAATAAAAGTTACACCTTCTTTCTTTGCGTGAACATTTGGGCGGCGTTAGGCAAATCTTCCCACACAGTGACGTAGACATGTGGGGTGTGTTAGAACAAGCCGTTTTAGGTGGGCCTGGTTGACTCGTAACTTTTATAAAAAACATCTCTTTGGATTTGAGACTTTAGTCTTTGCAACTTTACAAATCTTCTTTATGCACCAAGAGCTTGTAACACTCCAAAGAGAAAGGAAAAATTGAAATCACATCATATGACCCCTTTAAGGTACCACCCTAAATTAGCAGTGATACTGTAGCTTTGTACCTTTCAGTCTGAATGTATAGGTGGTCAGGAAAATGCAATTACTAGATATATATTATATTTTGAACACAAACTAACCGTGACACAAATGTTTCCAGAACATCAGCCTGATCTGCTGGGAAGAAATCCCGCGCAGCTGCGTGCTCCAAAGCGAGCAAGTGTCCAGGCAGTAGAGTCACCCTCTTTATCTTCTTATCTTCACTCTGGAAAAGCAAGCAGCAGTAATAATGTAC